TAAAGCCGCTCCTGTGATTAGTAGTAAATCTCCAGCACGTGCTTTCAGATGGAGCGGCATTTACTACACAGACTCATCGGCAATGAATCGCCTGCGATTTTGAACGCGATATTGAGTAGCTTGTCAGTGATCTACGGCTCTGTGTAGTAAATGCCGCTCCATCTGAAAGCACGTTCTGGAGATTTACTACTAATCACAGGAGCGGCTTTACTGACGAGATGCACATGAAATTCGCATTCGATTTTTTGCACAGCCCTACTATCTATCTATCCATCCATCCATCCATCCATCCATCAGTGTCTATCCATCTATCTATCTATCTATCTATCTATCTATCTATCTATCTATCTATCTGTGTCTGTCTGTCTCTCTCTATCTACCTATCTATCTGTCTATCTGTCCGTCCGTCCGTCCATCCATCTAAATGTAATTTATGAATTTATGATATTAATTATATATTATGATATTATGTATTTATAAATTAAATGTCATAAATAGGATCTATCTATAAAAAATGTAATGAAATATAAAAAAATCTAAACATACTTAATACTAAATACTATAAAATATCAAAATATTAATAGATAATACAATTTTTTTTTCTTCAAAGAACATGATCAAGTTATTTTTGCAGTTCTGTTTGGTGCTACTAGTGTCAAAGAAACTGTACTCTACACCTTTAAAGACGAATGTTCCACTAAACTTGATAATTATGTGCTTTAACGGTTCTGTTTTGCATGCATGTACAAACGGTCAAATCATTATCAGATGGTATAGAAAAAAACACCCCAATCTCCTTTGCTCTTTTCTTGCTATCCGTACATGCTATTAGGCTAAGTATTAGGGTCCTAGCGAAGGGAGGCCTGAGGTTGTGGTGTTAAGTAGAGGCGATGGATTAGCAGGGGGTGGCGATGATTTCTCCTCATCTCTCCTCGTTTCTCTCGCAGAGCGCTGTCAGATGGCTGATGAGCCGTGGAGCGAGCCCTGACCCTCTGAGCCGCCGCTGCCATTATATACAAGTGCGGAGATAATGAAGCATCCATGCTAATGTGGAGGAGAGGGCGGGGGAGGGGTCAGGGTGGAGGGGGAGCCGTTAGATCATCTGCTGTTCAGGTCAAGGCGAAACGGCACCGAGACGCCCTTACAAACTGACAGCTGCCTGGATGGACCGCCTCTGAGTGGAAATACATACGGATTACATTGTGTCTGTTTGCGTAAACTGCAATGATCTCAACATTCGAAATACGGCAGG